ACACACACACACACACACACACAGACATACAAAAAACAACACACACACAGTCAAACCTGCGTACAAACAAACAAACATACAAATCAAACAAACATACAAACCTACAAATATACAATCCTACGAGCGTACAAGCATACAGACAAACAAACAAACCTTTCACAATCCATAGACAGAGCTTGCTTAGCATCATCATATTCAATGGGACACACGAAGTAATCAAACTGAACAAGCATATAGGAGGCCTGGAAATAATTTAAAAAAACAATATTATTATTAAAAATAAGAATAATTATCATAATAATAATAATAATAATCATGGGAACATTCTTTTATTTATAGAAAAAATAAAATCCGAATGAAATCAATCGAAAATTATTAATTATACATCAGAGTGTAAATAAATAAGATGTAAAATATTCTTTTATTTATAGAAAAAATAAAATCCGAATGAAATCAATCGAAAATTATTAATTATACATCAGAGTGTAAATAAATAAGATGTAAAATATAATGTACGATCCTCTCATGCTTTTTGATCAACAAGTGCAATAATAATAATAATAATAAACTCGTCAACTAACTAGTATTCCAAAGAGGATAGTGGCGAAAGCGCCCCCGATGAAACCTTCCCAGGTTTTTTTAGGCGACAGCTTGATGAGAGGTGTCCGGCCGAAGAAGAAGCCGAACAAGTAGGCCATGATGTCGTTGCAGATTATCATTGACACTGGTACCAAGAACCTAATTGTTATTCGTAACGCTAGAGGCTTGTTATTAAACATTAACATATAATTTTGGTAACATCAGTCATTATAGTAAATTGTGAAGAGAGAGGGGAGAGAAAGGAGAGAGAGAAAGATCAATTTGTTTGTCATTATAGTAAATTATGATGAAAGAGAGAGAATGAGGGAGAGAGAAACAGAGAGAGAAACAGAGAAACAGAGAGAGAAACAGAGAGACAGAAAGAAAGTCCATTAATCACATATTAATGTACACCTGAATTTGTGAATGTAACGTGAAGTGAATGTAGGAGCGTCGTATATGTTCAATTAATTATGTTGCGTTAGCGGGCATTTAGCGGATTGAATCATCACTAGCATGATGATCATCATATCATCACCATCATCACCACCACCACCATCGTCGTCGTCATCAGCAGCTACCGACCAAATGAGGCCCTCGAAGATGTTCTGCATGATGAGGTGCGACTGAGTTACTATGATCAACAGGGTTACGTGGGTCCAACCGAACTGGACGTGAGAATGAGTGAGTGAATGAATGAATGAAGAAAAAGGA